AGAAGAGAAAATCAGACCGAGTTAATGGAAATATGAAAGAGGGCCCCCTCCGAAGGCTCCTTTCCGACAGAAGCACCCATGTCCATTTACGTGTGAATTCACCGCCCAGCTCGGACCTCATCACCAGGGGCTCCAAGCAGTGCAGAGAAAATTCTCCTAGTTCAAAGAAAGCTGCATCACTACTATTATGTATGCCTAGCAACATAAGAATGTGCCCCTTTCTCTCAAAATTCCCCCACAATATTGAAACAGCATTCGTGGCCCAATTCACACAAACGTTTGAGGCCTTGCGGGGAAAACCATTACCATTCAATGGCTAGAAAATTGCTCTTTCCTTAAAAAAAAAAAAAAAAAAGGTGGGAAGGGGTGGGGGAGACACAGCAGCAGCAGCTGACAACAAAAACTTTCTCTGACATAATCCTGGCTCGAGAATGACAAAGAAATTATATTGACTTACCCAGGAATGGATGATGTGTTTGATAAGGGGGTGGGGGAAGATTGTGTGTGTGCGCGCGGGCGTGTGTGTAGGTTGCTGTTCTGGCTCTGCACGGACAGCTGCAATTCATGGGCGACGCTGATTGCCAGAAACGCTATGGATTGGCATGGGGTCTGCGACTCGCAGAGCCTGATCAATACCCTACCCTCACACGCCAGATGGTTTAGGGAAGGACAAAAATAAAATAGTCCAAATCAACCCACCATTATGTCTTTTTGTATTGCTTAGATCAACCTAGTTGTAAGCACAAATGTATTCTGTCCCACACAAAAAACGGAAGGGATTTCTGAGTACTTGGGTAGACATAAGCAGCTCCCCGCCACCCCCATCAGCCCGACGGTCTGCCTGGTTTGTGGTGACTACTGCTGTTTAGTAAAAGCAATGCGTTTTGCCCTTAACCAGATTGGGTGTACTTGAGGTCGGCTTGTTTATTTTTTCATAGTGAATAATTTATGGGGTCTCTTTTAATTGAATGTACACCTTGGCTCCCCCTCCTCTTCAGCATCGGAAACATCCTTTTATGTGAATATAGGTTTGTAATCTCCCCTGGTCAATATTTTCAGGCTTCTCACGCAGTTGGTAACTCACACTCATGATGTTACGCTTTGTTTTGTTGTTGTTTGCCTTTGACCATGGGACACCTCTTTAGTTCAACCTTTGAAGCTGCATGTTATTTCGAAGCTTCCTTGGACTGGCTTTAACGCTGGGTCTTGAAGAAAATCAGCCCCGGGGATATGATGGGCAAAGACGTGGATGTCCTGCTTCTAACGTAATGTTTGGTGTAAATGTTGGTTCAGATCCTAATGGTCGTGAAATAGGGCTCCTGATGCCTCAAACGGTCTGTTTGTGAATTTAAAAAAAAAAAGCGCCAAGGGGGGCAGGTGGCAGCGGCAGCCGGAGTGTACTTCAAATTAACAGAAAATAATTCTGAGTGCTACAACTTCTGAAGGTTAGAGGAGGCGCAGTTAGAGAGGGGCCCTCGGTTTTTATTCGCTTAAAGAATGACAGGGAAAGAAGAAGCAAGGCCATTTCTGAGCCGTTTTGAACATCTTATTAGTATTGATATTCTTCACATTATCTGCAAGACGGAAGTAAATATTATTTTGTTTTCCTTTTGAGAAAGAAAGGTGAAAGGGCATCCCAACCAATTTGCGTAGAAATGAGGGGAATGGAAGAGATCAGGGCGTCCCTTTTCCTTTTCAATGGATTTTGGGTCGAAACATAAAAACCTCGAACTGCCATTAAAAATAATGATGATAACGCGAAGAATCTGCTTTAATCTAGGCCAATGAAATTATATACAAAGAAGCCAATACGATTTCATGATTTCCCTGAGATCGCCAATATTGATCGAGGGGAAGTGGGGGGAGGGACAGTGAGAGGAGCGAGAGAGCCAGGCTGAGAGGCAGCGAGAATATGCAACTCACCTTTCAACTCCCCGGCACGTGACTGCTCCCGGGCACACCGAAACGCAATTCCCAGGAGCAGATTTATCTCGGTGGCCTGCTAAATGAGTTTATCATATTGAAAAATTATTTAAACGACAATTCATATACTTGGGCGTCTGTCTGGAGGTGGTTGCCTGGCCCTTGTTCCAGACGGGAGTTGCTGGCCGCTGCTGGAGCCGGAGCCCCGTGCTCCGCAGGCTGCATTCAGCACCCTGAAGCATCCGGGGACTTCTCCCGCCAGTCCCGGTCCTCTCCTGGAGGCATTTCCGTCTCTGAGCATTCCTGGACCAATGGGAGGGTGCACTCTGCAGAACTTTGGATCTTCCCGGTGTGTGTTTCAAACATTAACTGGTTCAAATTACCCCAAGTGTCCAGTCTTCATAGATTAGGCCAGGAGTGGGGAAGGAGGAGACAGTGGGGACAGGAGGGCCAACAAAATAGGTGGGGTGGGGGGGGAGACGGCAGAAAAGCAAGGAAACTGAGTACATTTACCTGTCTGTGAGTCGCCAGCAAACTGGTAGTAATCAGAAAACCTGGAGGGTCAATGGCTTTCTGGGCCTATGGCTTTGATAACACAGAGAAGCTATTTGAAAGACTAATGGGCAGTGTATTGGCCAGAGCTCAATAAAGTTGATCTATGAATAATGTCCCTGTACTTCCAAGCGACAGGATGGGGGTGGGGTGGGGTGGGGTGGGATGTGTTGCTGGAAAAGAGGAGGGCAGCTGGAAAGGGTTAGTGAGACTACAACCTGTTTTCTAAACGCACTGAACCTTTTTTTCTAGCACTCAGAAGGCACTACAGTATCTGGGTCTGCGTTCTTGCCCCCTTATCAAGTTGTCTCTAACAGCTGGAAGTGGTTGGAGGGGTGCTGTCTTAAGAAGACCCCCTGCTCTTCTTTTGACAGCTGATCAAAAGAAAATAGGTCACGCTTCTCAAACTTACGTCTACCCTGTCCTTAATTACTGTCTCTTTAACAAAGGCAACATCTGCGCAACCTCAGCTAGCCTGAATCTTCGGAGGCAAACAGCGCTGCAACCTGCTTTGGAAGAATCTGCTACTTTTCAGGGCTTTCAATGCCGGGTGTTAGCCTCTCTGGCCGTGCTCAATCACCCGCCCTTGTCCCCCTCCTCCAGCCGCCAAATCTCCGCCTGCCCACTCCACTCCTACCTCCCGACCCGGGTTTGGCAAACAAGGGAAATTCTGGGAGCACGGAGGTGCACCTTTTAAAGTGGCAGGTCCCTGGGAACTGGTCATTTCATTAAACAGGATTGGATATGTAGATGTTCGCCTAGGCCGGTATCAACCATCCGCAGTTGTAACCCCCGGGCCTTCTTACTCCGGCTGTTCGAGGGAAGCGGGTGTGGTGTGTGTGTGTGTGTGTGTGTGTGTGTGTGTCTGCGCGTGCACGTTTCAGGAGAAAGATCCCCGGGTGTCGCCCTTCCAACCCCAAACTGAAGTTTGCTTTCCCGTCGCCACTCACCCCACATCCCCACCCCGTTCCACACTCCCGGCTTTTCCCAAGTAGCCATTGGGGCAAGGACTTGGTCACCTCGCATAGGCGGCTACCGGAGTTCCAGTTTTGCTCGACAATATAGCAGGGTCCTTCTGAAGCCCCCTAACTCAGAGATTTATGGGCTGGCCGCGTAATTAAATGATGCTATTGGGATAACTTTGCATGTACACGGCGGCCGGTGGGCTTCTGTCGGCCGCGCTAGCCCGAAGCGCGGGCGCCGGAGCTCCGTTCGCCTGTAGACGAGCGCGCTCCAGTCTCGGGAATTTACCTTGGATTAGAATACATTAGCGCCTACGTGTTTAAAAGGTTAAACTGCTCGCTCCGGGCTGGGGACGCTCGGGACGTGGCTCGCTAGGAGCCGTGGGTTTGTTTTCACGCGTCACCCAGCGGAATCTCTGCCTCCCAGCTTCCAAGACTGCGGGAAAGCTGGGGAGTGGGGCGAAGGGCACCGAAGCTATACCCCTGGCCCCAGATCGCAGCTGCCCGGGAGGAACGGCGCGGCATCTTGAACATAATCTCCCTCCCCGGCTCGCACTCTCGCCTATCTCTCCTTCACTCCCCCGCTCTCCCGCCCTCCTCCTCCCGCCCTCTCCTTGACGTTTGATTCTGTGGCAAAGGAGGAAAAAGAGGCAACGAGCCGTCAGCCAAACATGAAATGCGCGGCCCCGCCCTCGAGGCAACTATTGGACAGGGCGCTCTGGAGGTCCGCCCCCCCGAAGCAGGCACGGCCGTGGAGTGGCTGCCAGCAACGCCCATCGGACGCGCCCCGCCCAGGGCCCGGGAGGGTAGGTTGGCTGCCCCGGCGAGCGGCAGAGCCCTTCTGGACAGCTCCCGCTCACCCAAACAGAAGACGTCGGCTCCGGAGCGGGCTCGGACATGGCGAGGCAGCGCGCCGGCCCGAGCGGCGGGGCCCGG